AAAATATAAATGTTAAGCTTCAAAATGTGGAACATCTCGCACACTAAGTCATGTTGGGGCTCACCTTCGTCGTGAACAAGTAGGTCAAGTGGTATCGAGCGAAAGTGGGGTTATAATCCCAATGTCCCAATGATCACCGCCTTACTTGGTTTTCCCACGAGTTCGATTCCACTCATACTTTTTAAATGGCGGCCCGAGCGATTGTGGGAGTGGCGCACCGATAACTTTCTCGATTTTATGAAGAAGTTTGTACGATTTGAGAAGATTCAGACTCAAAATGAATTTACCTTATATTTTATCATTTTCTTCCTATTTTTCGATTTTTCATTATTTTTGTAACTGAAATACCAATTGAATCGGCGAAAATGGAATACAGTAAAAATTGGTGGTGCGTCGATTCGCTAAAACAAAAAAAAATCTTTCACAAAAGGTGCGTATTAAGACCAGCTTTCAAATGATACCTTACTTTCCCCCAGGCTCAAACTAACCTACGAGATATGAGCCTCGAAAGCACCCCGCGTCGATTCGAACCCACTTCCCCTATAGAACATCTACATTTATAAATTATAGACAACAACATCAACCTACGTGATTTAAGATTGAAATTACCTCAGTTCTCATTCAGCCATTCAATGATTTTATTTTTAAGGAACAAGCAAACAAATAAGTTTGCCGCACTCACTCAGATTGTTGATGTACCTCTGGCACTGTATTTTTTCAGCCTCTTTAAAAAGATAATTCGACATTTTATGCTGGCGCTTGATTTGCCTACAGCATCAATTTGCGTGCACTTGGTGTGAGTTAATTGAGAGCTCAACCATATTTTACGAATTGTGTTTGTGTACGTGTCTGTCATCTATTTCCATTCAACCCAAACCATTTAAAACGAAAGAGTATTTCTTTTGATGTAAAAATTGAGAAATCATCAATCAATTTGTTCGGATGATATTTTTTGTGGTCTTTTTATTCATCTGAACTAATGGATGACATGGTATTGTGTTGTGTCACTCCTAGGGGATAACCGTGAATTGCAGATCGAATAATTTATAATAATAAACGCTATTTCTCTCTAGTTTTCACTAATTCTGCTAGTATTTCTACTAGTTTGTTCTAATACTGCTATTTTTTGCTAATTTTTCTAGTACGTCAAAAATATCGCATTCGTCAGATTGACAGCATGATCGAATAACTGAAATGTGTTTACGTAAATGTTTCAAGTTGACACTTTCAACGTGTATATTTGAAGCAGGCACTAGCGTATACGTTTTCAGTAAGAAATCTGTCATCAAATCTACATTTCCGATTGCAATTCGTAAATTGTAGTTAATACAGATGAAACGTGCTTGGTTACGTGCCATTGAATATATTTTTATTTAAAAATGAGAAAAAGCGTATTTAACTACATATTTTGATACATTTTAGTTCAACACTATTCAATTCATTTGTTTTGTGAATTTTATTTTAATTAATTATTTCAATATATTCAAGAATAAATGCTTACTAAAGTATATACGTGTACAGTGCTAATTCTGCTATTTATTGCTAATTTTGCTATTTTCTTCATGTAAATTTCCCTATTTTTTTGCTAATGTGCTAATTCTAATTCGCATGGATATCCCCTAGTGTCACTCACTCTTGATGCTTTTGTTGAAAATGGTGAAAAATTATGTTATTTTATCCTCAAAAAAAAAATGTCACATTGAAAAGATGTCATAATTCGATTTTTCCATTCGAATTTCAGGACAATCGGATAAAATATCGAAATATGTTTGATGCTGATGCAAATCCACAAAAGAAGCATCTATTTCAAATGGAAATCAATACTCCACCAGGAACAAATCACCCATTTTTTTTTATTTATTAAATTGCTTCCTTTTCGTTTACGAAGGAAAACGATGAAAACACGAGTATAATGAAAGTGATATTTGGTAATCATGATTTTTGATTTCGTAGCAAATATTTGTAAGTTCGTCCATTTTATATTTGTTTAAATGAAATATCACGAACTTGAGAAGCCAGATTTACCGATACATATGGAGACTACTGGAGCGTGTTAATACATATGATTGCCTTGCATTGCCCCCGATGATGGCACTTAATGCGTACAGTTGCAACTGTTTGGTGTGTCGAGTCGATACCTTTCCCGTTCACCCTTTTTTTGTCCGATAAGTGAACAATACCAACGACATTTGAATGACGAATTCGAATGTGACGGAAAACCGAACCGACCGAAAAAGGATTGAATGTTTACTGAATGTAAACAGTAAAGCTTTTCGTGCGATTATGACATTTTCAAACACAAACAAATGGATTCACAAAATGGGAATTATACATACACCGCGCATACATACCATTTGAATTTGCTGTGCTGATGATGTATTTGTCAAATGTATAAATTTATAAATAAAATACATATTTATTTAGGAACAAAAGCTTATCCTTATTTCCAGAGGCCATGTTTAAAGTATAAACCAGTGGAATACCGACAAAATATGGCTCGAACCTGAAGCGTACATCTATTGTCATCCAAGGCGAAACAATTTTGATTGCAACTCTTCCATTTCGAAATGTTAACAAGTTGATTAAAATCAAATCAACTACGGATTGAAATGATGTTTTATTTTTCAACGATCACGCCGATTCGCCTTAAACACAATAAAAAAAAAAAAAAAGTGAAAACAAACAAATGAGATTTTTTGTGTATATTTGATTTTTCATTTTATTTCAAATTTATAATTTAAATATATCCTTTGATTTTTTTTTCTTATCGTTCTATATCTCATTCATTCTCTATAGAATAATTTTCGTCACTGTTAATGTATATCTGCAGATATTTTTTTGACTCTAAAGAACAATCAGCTGAAGTATAATCTATTCAGATTTTTTTTTTTTCATTTGACAAAGCGACGTGCCTATTTTTTCTTTTTGCTTTTTTGTGCATATATTGTAATTTAAAGTGGATGCTTTTCATCTCTCTTAATATTTTCTTGTGTTTTTAAGTGGCTAATGCATAAATAATTATTATTGAATGGATTTTTTTTAGACAACAGCATATTAATGTTACATGTTTGCGGTGAATAATTTTGAATTTTTCCAATGAATCATTTTTTTTTGTTTCAAATTCATTGCATACACTACTTAAAATGTTAGAAATGTTCTTTTTTCAATTCGATTTTCACTTTGCTCAAAATTAGATTTTCAATAATTTACTCAATAAAATTTGATTTTATATCTAGTTTATATCAAAATAAGAGATGAATTTCATAACTTATACTCTTGCTTTTACTTCCAATACGAAAAAATACGAAATTAACTCATTTTATTTTTCACAGTTGTAAAACACTTTGTCATTTGGATGGATGCAAATATTATCGTTTAATAACAAAGACAATTAATCAAATCTAAAATGACGACTTTTCATTTTGTTCAAATGTAAAAACTTCGTACAAATGGCGACACATAAAAGGCATACATTAAACACACATTAGCGAATATATCTATTATTCGTATTAGTATGTATGAGTATTGTTACATGTTTTTTTTTTTTCATTATATTTTGAAAACATAGCACGGAAAATTCTTTGATTTAAAAATGCCTGATGAAACAAAATATAAATTTACACAAAATAGTTCTCTCTCAAGGGGGGAAGGATAATTGAAAAAAAATATACCATCTTCTCATAAATGTGTTAAAAGTAAAGTGTCGAAATTAATGGTGTTTCGTTTAATTTTTGTGGAAAAATAAATTTTTTGTGACTCACATTGTGAAAGAAAAATGGGAGCATACATGGGATTTGATTTATACTGATTATGATATATCTGGTGTCACAGAAGTTACAGAACTCTTGACGAATAATTTTTCGAAAGAATTCAAGCAACAATCGTTAATATAAATAAATAATGTAAAAAAATGTTAGCGGCCAGAATAAAAATTGTTGTGAATTTGATATATTAATTCAGAAAATTATCATACACGTATTGAGATTTTTTTTTGAGTCTTTCATCTATATATATGCTATAATTATGCGAAATAATAAAAATAACTCTCATGTGAACACAAAGATGTGCCAATATTTTCCAATTGCTGTTTTCAACATAATTCACAACATATTAAATATTTTCCTTTTTCGATTCGTAGCTAATTCGCTTTATAGTAACCTATAGCAAAATAATTTTTTGATTCACATTTCACACAATATTTATAGTTATCGAGAGAGAGAGAGAAAGAGGATTGAATCCGTGTGAATATAATTTAATTTCATTTATCGATGTTCATCACACACAGGGTGTTTATGGGTTTTGCAAGAAAATCGTCATCAATTCAAAATTGTGTTTGCCGATCTTATAATATTTTGTATCATATAATTATTTTCTGCATATCGAAAAACGAATACTTATTTATACAACTATAAAATAAAACAGACACTTTTTTTATACAATTCACCATGAACAGTGGGGATAATGATATTCAATTCAAAATATGTCATAATTTTTCTTTTACTTTTTCGCTGACAACAAAATTAGAAAAATTTACTCTGTTGTAAAAAATAATAATAATTGTAAATACGGTGTGTTCAGCTTTAATCTCAATTGAATTAATTGCATCATTCCCACGTTTCATGTGTCACCACAAATTTAAAAAAAGAAACATACAAACAGATAAAAAATCACAGAATTTAAACAAACTGTACGCTCTCATTTGCTTTGTCAGTTGCATGAAAAAGAATTCAGATGCGTGCACATTTTTATTTGATTTCTTCTCATCTTCCTAATTTCATGAAAAAAACTTTCCGTCGAACATCATTTGGTTTTTCATGAGAAAGAAAAAGGTTTAATAAAATTTATCCATACAATCAATGCTGTTCTACAAAATAAGATTTACTTGCAAATCTGTGTAATTACTACTTTAATTACAATTGTAGTTTTTTTTTTTTGAAATGTTTCGAATCGAAAGTGAAATTTCTTAATGTAATCAACAGTTCGAAAAAACACACATAAAATTGATTTCATTTATTTAATTGTTTAAATGGTTTTCGCTATGGAATTGTCGTCATGCACCGAATAAATAGTAATGATGTCAAAATGGGTCTAATGACCAGAGACCGTTGTTGTTTTTGTCGTCATCGTAGCGGCAACCAAAAATGCATTTTGTTGAGTGCGCTACTATCTTGGATTGACAACTTTAAATACAGTTCCAGAAAGTCGTGACTTAACTTCATTGTGATTTCCCAGTGATGCAGTTCCATCGCTTGCAATGTATAACTGCAATCCACCGCCACCTGTAATTATAACATTTTAAAATGGAATTAGTCACGATTTGATTAAAATTAACCATTTCAATCATGAAATTACCTTCTCCAACTTGATCTAATTTGGTATTCTTTAATAATTCGTCAATTAGCGAATCTGGATTGACTCGGGTGCCTTCGACACGTCCCGACACCGTTGTTCCACTGTCATCTAAACCTTTCTTTCGTCGTTCAGCTGCTGCTTTCATACGATCCAGCGAACCAGTCTCACTTGCAAGTGAACCTGCACTCGGATTTCTATATTTATCAATTGCAAAAAAAAAAGAAAAACAGAAAATTCATTATAGCTAAATTCATCTCATTCAATAACATGCAATTTTTTTTTGTCTTTACACAACAGAAGAAAAAAATAAATAAATTGAAAAACAACAGCAACAACAACAAAAACATATATGACTTTTAAAATGGTAAAAACTTAATCATGCATCTTATACGTGCAAACATTAGAAGAAAATATATAACATAAATACCATATTGAATTGAAATTAGTAAAGCGAATCGAAGTGTTAACTGAAATTATCACATTACAACATAGCGGTAATTCATGCGGGTTGTTTTTTCAAAAATGTTATTGCAATCAATTTGTTTTTTCTATCATGGGTTTAGCAAAAAGAAAACCCGAAGTGTTACGCATTCAATTTATTTAATGAAAATATTTTCCCTTTTCATTGCGTTGAAAGCATTTAGATGATTGATAAATGAATAAAACAACACAAATGAGGATAGGTAAAAGTTAGTTTTTTTTCCAATAAATACACACAAATACAATACAAACAAAAACATGATTGAACTATGGAATTGTTAGTTTGATTAGCAACGAGAGTGAATAAATTTTAAAACAAAAACATGTGACGGTTTATTTTTGTCAAGTTATTTGAGCATCTGTCAAACTTTCAAATTCAATCAAGATATTTTTAAATTGCCGAATAGTATTTTCATTTTTGTCGTGAATTTTCAAACCATAGAATTGTCCATAAATAAATTATAACTAAAATGATAAATTTTATGAGTGACATTTTCGAATTGGCCCAAATTCAAATATAAAACAATAATAAAAATATTGCTAAAAATAAATGTCAAGGTTTTATCAATTTTGCAAGTGTTCAAACTCTACATCATGGTTTGAATTGAAGACTTTCTCTTACTTCAATTGACCTTCGGGATGAAGGTTCTGGAATGCATGTCAAACCAAAGGAGATGTTCAAATATTTATAATGGTTTTTTATCGAATATAATTCGATTTTCAAGCAAAAGGAAAAATGAAAGAAATACAAAAGGAGAATTTTATGCAATTGTATACATATTTTGTTAAACTAATGGCCAAGGAATATGACATGAGCGTGTTTTTTTTGGCAAACAAAAAGTTTGGCAAGAAAAGTAATCATGCAACAAAATGTAATACAGAGAAGATAAAAAACTGTTCGAAACAAGCGTTAATAAAGAATTTACAATAAAAGCGAGACGAACATGTTAGCACTTGGTCGCCTGATCACTAAAACCGATGATGGTGCAACCATTGGGTATGTTGAAGTGGACGCCAACAAAGTAGTCGTTGCATTTGAATTGTTTGATTGTGAATTGGCACTGTTACAGGTAGCTGACATTGATGAAGATTGATTTGATCCCAACGATGACGTTGAATTCGATTCATTTGTTACGACTGTGGTGGTTACGATGGCGGTGACAGCTTGTTCACTACTCGAATTACATTGATTTTCTTCCGGACTGGTTGCGTTCAATACGGCCAATTGGCGTGAACTACCATCCAACAGTCGTCGATGTAATCCACTTATATTTCTAAATTAGTTTTGATTAGTTTGTATTTGCAATGATGTATTCGTTATGTTTTTTTATTATCCATACACACATCAGCATATGAACACAATGAAAGCACACAAAAATGAGATGGAGAGAGAGAGAAAGAAAAAAACATAGATGGAAATGAGTTATTTAGCTTAAATTGGATATTATGAATGATTTATAAACGTTCTACATACAAATGAGGTATTTAATAATAATAGGTAAATGCTTATGGGTGATTGTATGCAATTTACGCGCAATAATTTTTGTAATGGTTTTTGGACACATATATGAACATAAAGTGGTACGATGTATTATTAGTAGTTCTTTTCGATAAATTGTCAAGTGTGAATTGGACAAATTAAAGTTGTAAAAAAAAATTTTTTTGCAAAGAAGTTCCATATAATTTGAAACGTTGACTGAATCTCATTTTGATAAACCAAACAAAAAATACAACTTTAAATGAAAAACAAAAAAAAATCTTCAAACGAAAAACAAAACTAAATGAATAAAACAAAAGCATCAATGTCAAACGAGAGAGTAACAAAAAAGATTGTACAGGAATTCTGTAAAAGTTTCGCTTAAGGTTTGTATGTATCGGTTTTACGTAGCATCATGTATTTATCAGTGGGTATCAAATGGTTTTTGTTGTTGTTGTTGTATTGTGTTTTGAAGAGTTTTGTGTTTCATTTTGTATGACAAAAGGGAATGCAAACACTTTGATAGATTTCAAATTGTCATGTTTTGTTTTGTGTTTTTTTTTGTTGTTGTTGCAAGTTGATCTGTGACTACGAAAACAAACTTTTCATTTCGTACCTAGTAACTTCAAATTTCCCATCACTGGGCAGACTGTGTACAGATGATCGATTTTTTTGTTGTTTTTCAGCCGGTACATGAGAGTGCTGCTGCTGTTGCTGCCTATCAACGGGCAATGGCATTTTAAAGCAACCATCTGATTGTCGTAGACCCGTTGCCGTTGTTGAAACTGGACGATCGTGTTTTTTATTATAACTACGCCGAAAGCCACGTTCAAATGAGCCTTTCAACAAATTACTTTCGTGTATAAAACGTACATGTTCGTCGGGTTGATGACGTAGAAAATTTTCTTGTTCATCGGAACTGCCACTATCACTGTTAAAATCATTTCGAGTATCTTCCTCTTCAAAGCTATGCAAACTGGCTGGATGCCGTCGACGCGGTATCATTGGCGTTAAAAATGGATCGTATGTGATGCGTTCACTGACCAGTGAATCGGATATTGTACCCAATGATTTCATCTTAGTGAGATGATATTGCTTTGATTCGGGCGTATCATTTTCAGTACCAATATACTTGGTATCACCGATTCCGAATCGTTTCTTATGCATTCGTTGCGTACGTGCAAACAAACAATTATTATTATCACCATTTTTATCAGTGGCATCGTTATTACTATTTTTTAGTAGATTATTTAATGAATTGCGCTGTGCTAACAATGCAATACGTCGATTTTCAAATTCTTCTTTGAGTCTGAGCAATGACTTTGGCGTTGAACCGAAATCACGTTCGTATTGTGACAGATTACCCAGCGAATTCATGCGATATATACAGTTATTTTGTCCATCATTATTATTATTGCTCGAATATTGTTTATCATGGGAAAGTTGATGATCGGTTCGATTGTCATTTGATGCATCTTTATTATAATTATGATTGCCATTTGCGATGCTACTCATACTTTGAATTTTATCAATTCGATAACCGTTCTTTGAACGTGGCGGCGGTTTTACATGTTCAAATATTACAACGTTTTTACCAATTCTGCTATTATCATCACTATCAATGGACACCGATGTATTTGGTGTTAAATAAATTTCACCATCCGATTCAGGACTGGTTGGCATTTTTATTTTTAAAGACGATTTCGGATACAGACGATTCGCTATTGGTGTCGATTTCGAGAAAACTGGATGACACCTTTAGAAATATACAGTGGAGGTTTTTTTAAGTTTTCGATCAATAAAGAATTAATAAAATAACTAAATATATATCGAAATTTCAGAAAGAAAATAATTAAATTATAAACATAAGTTCAATAAAACAAAAACGTCAAGAAAATTAAAATATATACAAGATAGCAAGTCAAGGTTTCGCATAGAACATGCACACAAAATGCACATTTGTTTCGTTTTTTTACAGATAGAGAACGAGGATGGAGGTAGCAAAATAGTATTTGCAAATGTTTTAGATGACAGAAGTCGGTTATTATCGATGCAATGATTAAATTGGCCTTGTTTTTTTATACAAGTGTTCTGGAACTTAGCTTAAAAGACTATCATTTGGATGTGGTACCATTTCCAGTTTTTTAAACACCACCTTAGGATTAGTAAATTGAAGGAAATTTTTCTGTGGTAGGAAATTCCATAGTAGTAAAAAAAAGTATCCCCGTCAAAAGTGGACTTTTTGTTTCATGAATGTTGGATTTGTGTAGATGATATCTATTGTCGACATTAGACTCATCACATTATACATGTTTGGAATGTTTAGATTGAATTGAATTCACGCACTCACACAGTTAGTTCATATATAAATATAAATATCAAATTCTCCCATACGCACACAAAATTAGTATTTACAAACGTGGTCCACTATTTTGTCAGGTTTTAAATATTTTTTTAAAATTTCCATATGTGCATAATGCACATAAACTATATCGATTGTTGCGGTTATTGAAGTAGTGTCTAGTAACTGTGATGCTGGGCGACAAGCATATTTCATATTATTTTTATCGAATTGCTGAGACAAGCACCGCGTCAAAATGTTTTATTTTTATTATTATTTACCTCGTATGACTCGAATCGCCTTCAGAACTTTGCCTCGAGTGTTGACTTTGCGAAAAACTACTATAACCAGATCCTTTAGACATCTAAAATTCGAATATATGAAGCAACAAAGTATTATTTGAATGAAATTCAATTATTTGGCTGCATTTTTGTACTCACTTGACTAGTATTACTCGAATTGCGTGAATGACCTTGCTCAATGCCACTGCTGCCAGTGTTTGCGGTTGACAATGCCGATTGTTGCGTTTGAATTCCCGACAACTGCTGCAGTGATAATTGATTGGCCGTCGTTGATGTTATCGAATCGGTCAGCAGCGTGTTCAACGGCTCGGATGATTCAGACATGCTTGAGTCGGTGACATTTACCATCATCGACATACCGTCTAATTGGGGCAATAAATTTTTATTTTAAATAAATAATGATGGAAAGCATTTTAAATTGCACATGTCATTTGTTTTACCATCGTTCTTTTTCTTTGGTAACGATCCAAAACCAGATGATCCCGATGTGATTGATGAATCATCACGTATTCCACCTACAAGACCGGGCAGAGTATTGACGCTTGCTGTTGATGGTATTACGCTCGTTGGCCGCGTCGTTCCAGGTAACGGTGTATTTTCAACACCAACTAATATATCACTACCTAAATCGTCACGTGACGCTAATTTTTTATTAATTAAACTTGTTGGACTGAAATGTATAGAGAAATGAAATTTAATTAAAATCTATTATTAAAAATTGAAAAGAGAAACAATGAGAGTATACATACACTTTAAAAAGAATATCACCACTGAGCATATGCATTTTAATGGCAATGCACAGCATTGAATTGTCTTGTCGATGCCGAGTGTCATATCCCTCGAGTAAGCATCGTTTTGGTATCAAACCAGAACCAGCAAATTCCGCTAAATTCAAATCAATAAATCCCAATTTTTGATAGCTGCGACCGCCTTTAATCTCCTTTCGTACCGATATTCGTAATGTACACGGATCCAAAATACCGGTAGATGCATTTGCCGACATTTTACAAACAATTTCAAATTTTTGGTTCCATTTCACTGTGTGATTTTTAACCTCCTCGCTATAGAAGAAAAAGGGAAAACAAATCGAATTATGGTCAATATATTTTTTTTTTTTTTTCGAAGTTTATGTGAATTGTGTTTTGTATCGAATTTCGATGGTATTTTTTGAATTCTTTTCCCAATAAGTTCCAAATCAATTTCTCGTAACAAAAGCCATGTCTAAAAAAAGGTTAATTTTTTGATAGAACCGCTATAATATATAAAAGTATAATGTATGCAAATCGTAGGCGCCAGAAAACCAACATCATTAACTGTGACATCGACAGTTCGCTCTGAAAGTCGCTCTTTGTCATTTTTTTTTATTCAGATTGGTTCAATTTGAAACACGAACTTTTATTGCCAGAGGTCAATCACTAAACTATTGATGACATCAATTTCACTCGAAAAAAAATGTAAGATTTATAGGAAAAATAACAAAGAAATAGAACGCTGTTAAATTATTCATTAATAGTTTTGTACATGAGCTTTATTGCTTGAACATATGTTGTGTATAATAGTATATACACGAAAGTGATCAAGCAATGATGCGAATATTTAAATTTAGCTTCATTTGGCTCAGATTCTTTGACTGACTGAGTTAGAGTCAGAGATTTTACCGTGATTTTTCTCGTTTGTCATTTTTTTTCTGTTTCATTCTTGACGTGTTCATGAGATTTTCTTGGCTTTTAATTACCCTTTTGTTTTATTCTTCTGTATAAACAATTTTACTGTAAATTTTATGCTTGGCACGCACAACATACATTGCTCAATTGTTTTGAATTGATAAAAGAATATGCACTGCGACAAATTCAACTTTTTTGACGGTATTTCAAAAATAATAGAACATAAACTTAGACAATGACATGATTCAATGTACATAATTGTTTACATATTTAAAAAGCGTCAATGTTATTGTGCGTCAAGAATAATTTGCAACAAAACTGATTGCTTCAGTCTAAAATGCACACTGTTTTCGATCTTTTAAATGATACGCTGCCCATATCTGAAGTTGTCGATCAATGAAAAACATGATTTATATATGTTATTCTTCTATTGCTTCAGCAATTCCATTTCATCCGTTCACACAAGCACGAACTATGTATAAAAAGTCGTTTCGGACGGGAACAAAAAAAAAACAGAAACAAAACTTCCTTTGTGGATCGTAAAACGAAAACCCAATCTAATTCTTCAGATGCAGGAAATGATGTCTTAGCCGTATAACTAACTTGGTTTATTCATATCGATGTGATAAATTCCATTGTGTACTTGTATTATTTGAGCATAATAGTAGAGACACACAGCGGACGGTGTGTGTGCGTGTGAGTGCAATGACGTTTTGAATACAAAAACAGATACTTTACTTAAGAACACACGGCAATGCGTGCAATAAAAAGAAAACTATCGCTATAAATGAGTCGTAAATGTTCACTTTTTTTGAAACCAAAAGCAAACAGAAATTTGGATCATTTTATTATATAAATAAAGGAAAAAGAGACATACAAATATGAGATTTACGGACAAGCAACAATTACATGCACTTAATGCGTAATAAAATGATTCGGACTTGTTGTTGTTAAGTTTAGATTTAATAGTGTTGATGTGGCTATTTCACTATTTAAGTGCCCGACAAAAATGAAAAGAAAACAGAGAATGAAGTGCATGTTATAGAATCGCATTATATCAAGTCAAAACGATTTGCCGCTTTATGCCACTTTTACGTAACGGCACAAAGTACAGTTTATCTTATTTTATGGCTCGTCAAAAAGTGCAAGCAAAACATAGCAATTGCACAAAATGAAATAATATTGAAAAAACTTTGAACATCTTTTTCTTCGATTTGATTGCAAATATTTTATCGAAATGGAAAAGTAATCGCATTTTAAATTGATAAATGTGAAAGCGTACAGTTGTTTTGAACGAGAGAGAGAGAGAGAGAGTGCAATAGCAGCCACCCAACATATGCATGAATCATCTGTTCTGAATTGTCTGACAATGCTAGCAATAATAATTAATATTATTTTATATTTATTTGATTTTGCTCTTTTTGTGTAATCTCTCTCTCTCTCTCTCTCTCTCTCTCTCTGCATATGAATCGTTGCGGCGAAAAAGTAGCTCTTATTTTTCTCCAAATAATACTGCAACATAAAGTTTTTTATGAATAGTTTATTTGTTGTATTACAACAAATAAACCGTGTGAAAAAAACTTCATGTTGCAGTATTATTTGGAGAAAAATAAGAGCTACTCTTTCGCCGCAACGATTCATATATAAGACAGTTATGATGAAAGTTAACACAGCATGTCAAATATGTCATTTATTAATTGAATATTTCTTTTGAATTGAACTTTATTACGCTCATCTGCTGAGCTTGTATGCGTTGACTCTATTGAGCCGTGACTTCATAATCAAATTAATTCAAGCAAATTAAATGTTATATGCGAAATTTAATATTGTGAGAGTGAAAAAAAAATTGTTCAAGACACCAATAGCGAGAGAGGTATTACAACTATCACCGATTAAAATCAATAAAAACGCAAACACTTTGAATTTTTTTGTTGTTGTTTCGGGTTTGAACACGCTTCGGACTTGCGTTGCGGTTGATTGTAAATGGGATCATTATCTCTGTTCATCGGTATTCTCTTTTTTTTGTATATATTGTAAGAAATTGGTCAATGCTAGCACGTAGCGTTGGTTTTATCAGACTCGAAGGTCACTTCATCGGAACCAAAACAAATACAAAGAAACTTTGATAAAATTCAAGAGAAAAAACCAGAATGTTTGTATTATTTATTAACGGTATCTGTTCAACGTCTCTCAATCACTTCCAAATGGCATGTTGTTATTGGTCATTGAATCATGCCAATAAATAAATTATGATATAGGAAATTTTCATTTTAATTGAAAACAAAAAACATCTCTAATCAGATTGTATTACAAAATGCATAGAAATCGGTGAATGTCTTTCAAGTTCGTCTCGAAAACAGTCTCAAAGTATTTTTTTTACAGCATACTTATATTTTTTTAAATACACACGCGCAACCAAAAACAAAAGACATCAGAAAGTACACGAAGAGACTTTCAATTTCACATCTTGGTGTGTGCACATATTTTCTTACTTGGTTCGGTTTTTGTAATTGTCTGTTTTGCAAAAGTTTGATGCCATTGCTGTTCAGCCAGCTGTAGTATTCAGTTGCTTACACACACACATCCACACATTTTGTTCACATGCTCGCGCACGATAGGAATGTTTTAAGAAAAACGATACGCGAGCACACACTGAATATGAACAACAAGAGAAATACTTTTCATTTTTCTCTTCGTTTCACTGAGTCAATTGTGGATTTTCGCAAAAGATTTCCAAAGAAAATGCGCGCGCAACGAAAACAAAAGTAAGAGAAAAGAGAAAAAACTACACATTTTTTGATTGCATTCAATTTCAATATTATTGTTGTTAAATTCGAGATCGGTGGTGGTGTGCGAAAGTGCGCTCAATTTCAATAAATTTAATTTATATATATACTCTTTATCACATTGAACCAAACAAGGTGCCACGATGAAATTCATCTATGTCCAGCGCAACTCGTTTTGTTCGTTTGTTTTATTTTGCACGACTCACAAGCGAGTCACATTCACTTTAATGTGCAGTTAGCTAGAAAAGGTCATTCCTTTGACAAACACTATTTGCTACTGTTGTTGTTGCTGTTAACAAAAAATAACCAGAGAGGAAACGAATTTTTTTATTACATTTCGACTTATTTGCATTCACCATTAAAGAGCACAATGTGAACACTCCATTTTAATACTTTTTTTTGTTGAAGTGCAATTCCAATTACTTTTCTATTTCGTTGTAAAGCCTTGTTTTTTTTTTCTTTGAAAAATTACAAATTTCATTATAACTCAACTAATATTTCAGATGAATTCGAAATGGTTTCAGTGGAGAAAATGTAGGGAAAAAAATGTTGATATAATTCAATCAAATTCCAGGATGTTTCAAAGCGGATTAATCCAATTTCAAAGAAATATGACTACTGTTGAGCGTTGAAGGCGACTCTTATCAGCTTTGATCTAGAATGAGGGTTTCGTCGTTCCATATCAAGTTTTATATATATTGCATAAATTAGTCGAATGATAACGGAACAAACTATTTCAAATAACCTCCACAAAGTGTATTATTTTTGATGTTTAAAACAGTTATGAATCAGAATAATCTGTTAAATATATTATTGCTTCGAAAAACCCAATATAGACAAATTGGTCTTTGTGCAATATTGATGTTTGAAATCGTAAACAATTAAAATTATCGCATATTCCCAAAATTTTTGACCCCACTTTGTTGATAAATTATAGATTGATCACAGATAGTTTAAAAAAAACCAATTGTCGCAACGAAAAAGACTGCTTTACTATCGCAAAACAAATGTCTGTATGCTTTTGTTCAATGCCTACTTGTGACATTTCAATTTCGTTTAAAAATAATTTCGATCATAACAGTTGAATGTCAACCATACGATTCATTCAAATTTTGCAATATTATGCAAAAATGGTCATTGGCCTGCACCGATTATGCCACGTTCATTTAATAAATTTTTTATGCCGTATTCACACCATGCGCATATATTTTTCTTTTCTTTCAATGTTTTGAAGCAAATCGAACTGCACGACTCGACCAAACGAAACTAAATTTCTACTAGTAAAGTTCACTAAAATTGAATAAAAACAACAACACATTATTTGAGGCAGTCTTGTGATCAGTTTGATGAATCAGCATAAAAGGAATGGCATTGAATGCGATAGTATAATTTGTATACTCAAAAAAATGAAATGATTGCAATCACTTGAATAAACAAAATCGATCATTGCACCGCACACAAAATGATTCAAAATCACAGAAGAACCACACATTTGTTATTACACTTGGCTCATAGCCCATTGTCGAAATTATTTCTTTTTTGAAATGACTCGGTTTGAATTGTTGACTACACAAAAAAATGGGTGCCTATTTAAAAAAAAATGTTTTCACA